CCCTTGCTAACGAGTCTGGTCATTGTGTCGGGCCGGGGTCTCCGAGCTGGCTGATTGTGGCTTCGCTGAGGGGGGGGGAGTTGGGGTGGTGGGAAGGGGGGGGCCGTGGCTTCGCTGAGGTGGGGGAGGAGTTGGGGTGGGGAAGGGGGTGGGGCGTGGCTTCGCTGAGTGGGGGAGGGGTTGGGGCCGTGGCTTTGCTGAGGTGGGGTGGAGTTGGGGTGGGGAAGGGGTGGGAGAGGGGAGGGGAATTCTGATGAAACGGAAGCTGCATTTTTATTGAAGTGGAAGAGGGGGGGTGGGGGTAGTGACTTTGAATTAAGACAGATATTCAACCAATGAAGTAGATCTACAAGCAGTTGGCATTCCTAGAAAATCAAGATGAAAGTCCGAAAAAATCGTTTTTACCTTGTTGCCTCCGCCGGGTGTCTTGCGGCCGGAAAGGGGCGTTGTGCTGCCAACTCACCTGAAAAAGAATACACAAATGTATACATACATATTCATACGCATTTTGCATGTATGCACAGATGCATAATACATACACACACACACACACACACACACACACACACACACACACACACACACACACACACACACATACCACACACACACACATATATATATATATCATATATATACATATGCATATATATACATATACATATACATATGTATATATAATGTATATATAGTATATATACATACATACATACATAATATATATATATATATATATATATATATATATATATATATAGAGAGAGAGAGAGAGAGAGAGAGAGAGAGAGAGAAGAGAGAGAGAGAGGAGAGAGAGAGAGAGAGAGAGATAAAGACAAATAAAAAAGGCGGATAGTCACACAAAGAGAAAAAATAGGCAGACAACCAGACAATGTTAGCCTCACAGAGACAAACATGTGTATGAATATATATATATATGGATTTTATATACATAAATACACACACACACACACCATATATATATGTGTGTGTGTGTGTGTGTGTGTGTGTGTGTGTGTGTGTGTGTGTGTGTGTGTGTGTGTGTGTGTGTGTGTGTGTGTGTGTGTGTGTGTGTGTGTGTGTGTGTGTGTGTGTGTGTGTGTGTGTGTGCGTGTATGTGCATGCGTGCGTGTGTATGTGTATTTGAAGGTGAACAGGCATTACTCCACAAAGAAGAAACTCGCATGTAATATTCAGAATCATCAATTGATCAACATGTAGAGTAAACATCTAAAATAAGAAAAGAAGGTCGGAGATGAAATAGAGAAAAGATTTAAACACTTTCGGCTCCATCCAGGGAGACAACAGCCTTGGGTTGGTGAGAAGTTTCCTTGGAAGAGAGAATCGCGCACTGGCTGAAGACTTTGTAGGTGAAATATGCCAAAACATGCATCATTGCACTGACACAACACACAGACAATATATATATATATATAATATATATATATATATATATATTATATATATATATGTATATTTATATATATTATATATATATATATATATATATATATTATATATATATATATATATATGTATATATGTCAGATTTATTCTGACATTTAAGTCAGGATACGTTTTAGAAGGCCTCCAGAAAACAGGAAGCGGTTGTGATGCTTTGCCATGTCTAAAGGCGCTGTCACACTAGCACTTTTTCCGTCAATGTTTTGACAATTTTATATAACATAAATACAAACATTCTCGAATATAGCTCTTGATTTGACTTTGCTTAGCTGAAAAAGTTGACGGAAAGGTTTTCAGACGGAAACGATCATTATCGTCTGACTGGAGAATCGACAATTCGCTCAAAAATGGACAAAATTTCAGAAAATTGTCAAAAAATTGAAGGAAAAAGTGCATGTGACAGCGCCTTTGGTGTTCTATTTTGAATATAGTAAAACCTACGTGCCCAGTAAGTCATAAACAGATAATTGTGAATATGTTTCTCCTGTTGTTCGTACTGGACTGGGTATATTTTTGAGGGAAGGGTCTGTTGCTAAGGGGAAAGCTGACAACATCGGCCCGCCTTAGGTACTGCTGGGGAGGCAGTCTGCCGATGGCTACTCCTCCAAACAGGTAAGAGAGAGAGACGCCCCTCGTCGAGGGCGGAATTCACGGTTAGATTGAGGTGACAGGGGATTGTAACGTACAATAGTACAATAACAGGGGGAGAATGCATATATACGTATGTGCTATATAATGAGTCTGCCGATGGCTACTCCTCGAAACAGAGAGAAGAAAGTCGCAGCAGCAGCCGGCACAGTCGCTACCCCATGGCAGCCATCTTGGAATTGCGACGACATCTTGTTTGGGATCCCGCAATATCTGTCCCTCAGTTAACCATCGGAGTGAGGATCTCGTCGAAGAGGATAGATCCAGATATGTCAGGACAATGTTCATTCAGGTGGGGCAGTGCCAATTATTTAGAGAATTATTGAACTTTTGGGAGTGAGGCTCATACCATAACTCAACCAGTGGGAAACAATCTTTCAATAGACCACATCTAATTGTTGTCAGCAACCATGAGTAAAACCAGCCACACCATGATCGCCAAAACTGCCGAGCCAGCTACCACACTAAAACCTTAAGACCATTAAGAGGCTTTTTTTCGGAATACCTCCTGATGTCAAAACAACAATCCGGATGGTGGCAGTGCTACTAGTTTATGTTGCTTATGAAGATTTAAATCGGTTTTGGAGAATAACAATATTTAATTTCCCAAATCAAGACCATTTTTTGTTTAGTTATTTGAGTGACGAGAAAATTAACGGTAGAGAACTAAACCATACTACTGTGATTTGGTAACTGTGATCAGCTGATTAAAAATGGGATCACGACATATATATATATATATATATTATATAATATATATATATATATATATAATATATAAATATTATATATATATATATATTTTATATATATTTATATATTATATATATTTTTTTCATGAAAATACTTGATTCATATATGAAGTACAGCCTCATCCTCATCCGTTCGAATAAAACTAATACTCCGAATTGCGTCCATAAACCTAGCACTAATACGTGTGTGCAATACAAAGAAAAAAAAATGCTCCGAGTATATGCAGAACTATTTGTTATTATAAAAATGCTAATAAATCACAATCACAGAACTGCTGTCGACCAATTATCCACACCATTTATTCCCTTTTTTTATCCAGAGACAATATACCACCGATATGAATTTACGAGACAAAAAAAAAAAAAAAAAAAAAAAAAAAAAGAAAAGAGAAAAAAAAGAAAACAAGGTTTATCTCTCTTTCCTTCGTCTTCAATTGCAGTTCCTCTCCCGGCGAGTTCTAAAGCCTTTATTTCCTTTTAAATCATTCCCTATCAAATAAAGTGACGCGGCTATCAGAGTTAAGAGGGAAGAGGAGCCCAACTAAAGAGGAATCTCTTAAGAGGGAGAGAGGCTGCAGGTGACGCCAATCTGAGGGATTGTGGAGCTGAGGGGGGAGGGGGAGGGGAGAAGGAAGAGGGGAGAAGAGGGGGATGAGCAGACGAGAAGGGACGTAGGTGGAAGAAGGGAAGAAGAAGGTGAAGAAGGAAAGGAGGGAAGAAAGATAAGAGAAAACGGGCAGGAGGGATAGGAAGAGAATGAGAAAGGCCAAGGAGGAATGGAGGAGCCAACGAGCAGTGGAATGAATGAATCAAGATGCTTATTGATTTGCTAAAAAAAACAAATAAATAAATAAAAACCCTGATTCCGAAAAAACAGGATCAGGGCAAATAAACACTTCCAAAAACCAGATCACAGAGATGCTGCTTCCAGATACTGATATAGAGAAGAAGCCTTAACACATACTGGAGTTTCTGTGAGTTTGAAAGAACATGAATGAAATCTTGGGAAAATCACAGTGGACAAACTTTAATATATTTCTTCAAGAATAACCATAAGAAAATTATTTTGATAGCTACAACAACAACACGCAAAAATATATACACATATACCACAAAATCAATAACAATGAAAACAACAAATGTAAACAATTCGAGTCGGTTCAACAAATCCATTATTTGTCATGAAGTGAAAAAAAACATTGTGTTCTGTCTCAACTGAAACATAAAAACAGTATGTTCTGGAAGGTTTCTGGAGCATTTTCATGAAATGGAAGATTTCGGGGGGGGGGGGGTAATACAACAGCAAATTTTCCTTTCGAAATCATCCTAACCTAAATTTTGCACTATGCGCTAGATGAAGTTTATAATATATATGTGTGTGTGTGTGTGTGTTCTGTGTGTGTGTGTGTGTGTGTGTGTGTGTGTGTGTGTGTGTGTGTGTGCGTGTGTGTGTGTGTGTGTGTGTGTGTGTGTGTATGTGTGTGTGCGTGTGTGTCAGAAGCGCATACAGATATGCGAGCAAAAACCTCCGACTGCAGCCCACAGCGCGAGCGAATCGGACTCGCCCGTTTCTCGAATCGCCAAATAACGACAATAAATATCTGGGAAATATCCCACATAAAGACCCTCCGCTATTTCAAAATTCCCGCTAATGAAAGTCCTTTTTTTTTTTTTTTTTTTTTTACCTATGCCTATTCCTTTTCTTCGACCATTTTCCTCCCTTCCCATTTCTTCTCTTCTTAACCATTTACCACCCTGCCCCTCTGACCGCGAAGGAAGAACAAATAATCCTTTTTTTGACACTCAGACACCAATCCCATTATACGTGATATCATTACGATTTTTACATTATCCAAGGTCAGTCTTTTATTCCCAAGGTCATGTTTTTTGTGTTTTATTATGCCCTATAAATTACCCGAGGATAGGCAGGGCGGCGGAGGAAAGGATATTCTTTGCGGTTTGACTCTCCACTTTCTCCGGATACGAAGGAGAGGAAGGGGAGGAGAAATGGCGAAGGAAGGGATAGATGAAAGGTGAGAAGGTTAGGTGGAAAAGGTGAAAATTTTTAAAAAGGAATAAATCGATTTTTTTTTTTTGAGAGAGAGGAGGAGAGAGAGAGAGAGAGAGAGAGAGAGAGAG